TGGAAACACAGCTGGTAATATTTGGTTTTAATTCGGCTTTTATCGGGGTTTATTTTTTGTATTTCTGTATTTTTGTATTTTGCATTTTTTGTATTGTGTGTATATTATTTGTTTTTAATATGCTGTGAACCGCCCTGAGTCCTATGGGAGAAGGGCGGTATACAAATTAAATTATCTATCTATCTATCTATCTATCTTCGTCTACTGCCTGAACTCGCTCTGTCCATTAAAGATGGGTGAGGCTGATGGGGGAACCCAAGGGGGGGGGCTGCCTGATCCTTAGAAGGGGCCTCTGATACGCCTGTGGAAACTGTGCCAGCCTTAGCCCAAGTTGGGTGTATTCATAGTGACAGGAACAGCTTTCGGGGTTCACCTAAGCTGCCCCCTTGCCAACTCATATCACCTGGTGGCCCTCCAGCTACTCTGGAGCCTGGTCTCCTTGTGCCTCTGGGCCGGGGCCAGGACGCAGAGATGCTGGGGCTCCCCCACCTGATGGCTGCTCAAACAACCCAGCCTCCCTTTGAGGTTTCCTCACCTGGTCGCAGTAAACGCGGATGGATCCCACGTTCTGAGCTCCCACTGCTGTCAGGGAAAAGAAGCCGTGTTTCCAGTAGCCCGACAGGACGACCCGCTCGTTATGGCAGAAGAGTTCTTTGATCCAACGTGCTACGCCGGGGTTCACGGACATCAGGGCACCTGGGTAGAGAGCAAGCCTCTGCTGTTGTTTTGGCTTATCCAGCTGCTGCTTCCAGGAGCTGGAAACAGAACTGAGGTGGTGGGAGGGGAGATGCCAGAAGACCATCTCGGGCCCCCTTTGAGGCTGTCTAATGTCTCCAGCAATGTTGGAAAGTAGTTCGGCAGAAGTTTGAAGACAATGTCTACCAGGAAAGGAGTATCCCAACACCCGTTGAACCTATTGCTCTGGTGGGGAGGGGTTAAAGTGTAGTATTGCAGGCTAGCTCTGCCCACAGACTGGAGTTTGTTCCTGACTGGCTAGAGGTTGATTCGAGCCTTTCATCCTTCCAAGGTCGGTAAAATGAGGACCCCGATTGTTGGGGGCAAGAGGCTGACTCTGTACACTTGCACAGAGAGGGCTGTAAAGCACTGTGGGGTGGTACGTACTGTAAGTGTAAGTGCTAGTGAAGAGAGGGAGAGGCGGCTTGCCAGAGCAGGCTGAAGGAGAAAAACCAGAGGTGGAGACTTGATTCCTTCCCCCAGGAAGGGATCTGCCCCAAGGTTACATACAGCTCTGGATCTCTGCTCTGTCTGAGCTGCTGGGGGGATAAGAAAGGTAAGAGCTTTCCAAAGTGGCTGCTCTTCTGGATCTCTGAGGGGGCCAGAGGTGATGGGAAAGTGCTTAATGTCTTCCCCTCCCTTTTGGTCTCCTGATCCTACTCACCTGCTGCTGTAAGTGGGGCTTCACAAGACTCCCCCCAAGGGTGTTGGCCTCAATCAAGCAGGGAAGGGTGTGCAATGGGCCACCGAGCCTGGGGAGCCCAGAGTGGGATGGAGCCCACCAAGTGGCTCATTAGATTTATTGTTGTCACCGGGGTGGGGTGGGGAGTGTTGCTTTTATTCTTTTATATCGGGTTTTTATTGTTTGTAAGCTGCCCAGAGTCACTGAGAGTGAGTGGGCAGCCATACAAACAAATAAACACAGAAGCAGTTTGCAGGCCACTGTGATGAAGGGATGCTCCTGAGCGGTCCTCGGAGAAGGACGAACGTTTCACTTGCTCTGTGAGCAAATGTCAGTGTGCGAAGAGCCGCTGCCTCTGGGTGTCCCACCTGTGGAAAGGAGACCTACCTGGGAAGTGACGCCGATGAGAGACCTTCCAGTCGGTGGGCGAGTGGAAGCAGTGGTAGTCTCCGGGGGCCAGGTAAATCACACAATGGAAGAGCTCGTTGGTGTCTTTTGTGACCAGCTGTTTTTGGAAGGAGTCGCAACAGGAAGCTGGAAAAGAGCAGCAGAGGAAAAGGTTTTCTGAGGAAAGAACCGCAAAGCTGCCTTGTTATTGACGCAGCAACTCAAAGCATTCACTCCTTCACCTACTCCAAGCAAAGCTAAAGGCATCATCTGCACAGAGAGCCCAACACAGAGCGGTAAGACCAGGAGGCAACTGGGAGGGGAGGGCACCTACAACGGGCATAGGTTTAAAAACAGGGTAAGTCTAAATGTCCCTTGAGACTTGGTGGTGGGAATTAGCGTTTTCTTGGCAACATTTTAGTTCCACAAAGCATCTACTGCTACATGTGGTCTTATTGGGGACATGGAGAAACTGAGAAGCAAAGCTGGGACGCCGATCTTGAGCTTTCTCACTCCAGATCCATGACTGATGAAAATCCAGAAGCGAACCCAAGACAAACAGAGCGGGGGCACACCGGCATGCACCTTCCCCCGGCGAATTTCACTGCATATCTTGATATTAAATATATAGCCATCCGACTGAGTTACGGAATACCACTTATTCCTTGTGTGTGAGGGTTAGGACTTGAACAGCCCCTGGGGCACCAAACACTGCAAACGTGGCTTCTGAAAACACTACCCTGGAAACCATTACATCTTCTGACAAGAGATCTCTGGAGATCTTGCTCATCCTTGGCCAGAGAGCAGACCGTGAGGGCAGGGCAGGGCAGGGCAGTGATTGAAGGTCTGCCCGAGACCTTCTCTCCGTCCAGCCTACCTCGTGGCATAGATGTGGACGGAGGTTGCCTCCTTGGAGGACAGGCAGGGGATACGAGCAACCAAGAGAAACCAAATAAAAGCCGGGCCTCCTTTTCGGAACGGCTTCTCTCCCTCTCCTGGGTGCCCTGCAGTCCTGAGCTACAGGGCCGCCTTCTCAGAAGACCTCCTCCCACAGCGTCTCTTGAACCCGCCTCTTCCGCTGAGCCGAAGGGGGGGGGAGGCAGTGCAGATGTGAAGTGCACCTGGTTCCTTAACTCTGGGCCGCAATTCCTCCTGATGTTTCTAGGGAGTGAGTGGAGACTGGCTGCCTCCTCTGGGTGCAATTCATCCTTCTAAAGAGGCTTCAAAGACTGTCCAGGAAGGGAGAGGAATGCTACCCTCTGCCCCGCCAGCCAAGTGCCTGGAAAGAAGGATCCTGGAGCTCAAAGGGAAGACTTACTTGGATTATTTTGGCAGTTGTCGTGATTGGCATGGGGACCCAGGAAGGACTCAAGAGAGTAAGTGATGCCTTTTACTTGCTCCACTTCACAGTTCTTCACTTGCCCAAAACTGAGGATCTTCCCATCCGAAGGGCTGACCTGTGGAGGAGAAAGAGCAAAAAGAAGCTGGATGCTATTTTCTCTTCCACTTCTATTAATTAAACAATATCAATGGTTGCCCAAACTTACAGTATTTTGCACCACTTTCATTAAATGCAATAATAATATGGGTATAATTAACCTACCCAAACAAGCAGCATTAAAACAATTCTAACTGAAATTTAAAAGGGTTTTCTACAACCTCCCTATCCAAAAATGGAAAAGGAGGAAGCAGAGCAGCTGCCCTTTGCCTGGGAAACTGACCACGCTGTGCCGGTCGCAGACGGGCCGTGCCTGGGGTTTCAGCTTCCGTCGGAAAAATTCACTCAGGTTGCGGTAGTGATGGAGGTCCTCCACGGCCGCCTCCTTCATGTTCACCCCAAAGGTCCAGATGTACAGGCTGAGGACGGGCTTCCGAAGCCAGGTGGGCAGCTCCACGTTGTTCAGCCGGCCCCACGCACGGGAGAGCAGGCGGGTTGGCACCGACTTGTACAAGGAGACCTAGAGAGAGGGGGAGGGGGGGAGTCAGGCGGACCGTGGTTTGGCCACCAGGGTTGTCTGCAATTTGAGGGAAGAAAAAGAAGAATCCTCCTGGCAAAGTTTCACATCAGGAGCAGGGACTTGGGAAGGCTTGTGCAGATCCTCTTTTGATTTAACGGGAACTAAGTCCAGGCAGTCTCCAAGAATTCGACACGACTGAGTAGAAGACAAAAAAATCAGAGCAGGGAACCCACTTTTAAGACACTTCCACATCGAGCACCGAGAAGGGATAGGATGGGCGATCCACTTGCACAGGGGTGCCTCCTTTCACTTCACAAGCAGACATTTCCCCAGTTAGGCCAAGACCATTTGCAGCCTCTGTTCAATCTGTTAAGGCAGCAACCCCCAACCTTTTGGGTGCCAGGGACCAGTTCCCTGAGAGGGTTTTTCCCACGGACCCGGGGGGGGGGCTGGCTTTGCGTGCTGCCTGAATCTGGCAGCATGGCCCAGTTTGTTTGCACGGCCCGGTTTCTGGCATGTGGTGGACCGGTGCCAGTCCACGAACCAGGGGGTTGGGGACCCGTGTTAAGGTACTGCAAAGAACCTTCCAGGGTTTCCTTGAGGGATTCAGGGGCCATTTGCATCTCAGAATGGGGTGACCTCCTTGCAGAGTGTTAATTGGATGCTTAATTGATTTTGATGGCAGAAGCCAAAAGCCGCCTTCCATCAGCTACTCCTTCCCACCACCTTCCACAAAATCCACTCCAGTGTTTCACTGTTTATGCCGGAGCATCCTCTCTCCTCTCCCTTCACATAGCTATTTATTACTATATGAGGAAGCAGTCAAGAGTCGAAACGAGCCCATTTTAACCGGCACAAAGCAATGGAAACTCTTTATCACAGAGGGGTAAGAATTACAGCATCTTGTGGCAGGTCTGCTTCAATTAGCAGCTTTTTGTAATGCTGAATATGCAAACTAGGACTATTACTTACATTTCTGCCTCTGGGTTTAGAACCAGAGGCTGCAGAAGCTGAGCAATTATCAGGAGTAAGAAATCAGCCCCTCTTTCGTGGCCAAGGCGATGATTCCCCCCCCCCAAAGGCTGGCCTGCTTAGCTCCACGGTCACAAAAGGCCCACCCAGCTCAGCCTCCCTCCGCTGGTCCTGGATCAAGTGGCAACAGTGGGAGAGAAGAGGCCAGGAAGGCTGGAGCCTCCTCCTTCCTGAAGGCCCAAATAGCTTTGCATCTCTGGCAAGGAAGGAACGCCTGGGCATCCCACTCCCAGAATAAAATGCCATGACCCCGGCCTTCAACCTGATTTGGCCAGACCCACACGCGTAGAGTTCAAACTAGCTACTTTATTGTTCGCTGCCAATAATACAGGAATCTCCCCAGACCCGCAGCTTTTCCCTTGGAACCACTAAATAAAGCTCAGAGGCAGTCTCTCTCTCTCTCTCTCTCTCTCTCTCTCTCTCTCTCTGTGTGTGTGTGTGTGTGTGTGTGTATCACACTTTGCCTTCTTGTATTTACACAATGAGTCCAGGCTAATTCCCGGATTGAGCCCTCCTGCTGACTGGGATGGCTGCTCTCCAATAGATTTACAGCCCACATGCCTTATGAAATTATGCTGCAAACACTTCATAGCTTGGGGCTGGGCTTTGGTAGAAAATAAAAAGGGTCAGCAGCCATAGTACAAAATAACTAAGCTAAAGGAAAGAGGGGAGAAAGCATCTGAAAGTGCACATTCTGCCCCAATCAGGTAGAGTCAAGGTGTAACGCTTGCCTGCTGCAAGTTCACCTGATGGGCCATCACCAAAGGGAAGGCCAGGCTCATGAAGGCCTTTGACTCCATCTGCCCAAACATCTCACGGTGTCCAATGGCTTTGGCCATCCTCCTCAGCAGTTACTGAGAAAAACTAATAGCAACGATAAGCTTGACTATTATTTCTTGATACTGACGTATCGTGATCCTGTTGTAGTGCTTGCTGTTGGTTTTATGGCTAGGCTTGACCCAAACTCTTTATAGTTGCCTCAAGTGCCGAGTCTCCCCTTCAACTAATGGCTTAATCCACCTTCAGTTTATCACTACAAGTATAAAGGATCACAGGGATCGGCAGATGGCCCAAATGATCATTAACTCTGATTCAACCATCTTGGATCTGTAGAAAGGGATCATCAAAGGGGAATATATACACTGGGACAGATGTGGTGCCAGAATTACAGGTTGCTTATATGTGTCTCCAAAACTGATAAAGCATCTTTAAAAGTGATATCCAAACTAGCAGTGATTGCTTCTCTTAGACTGTGAAATTAGTGTGTAGTAAGTTGTCCAGGGCAAACCTGCCTGGTCAAGAAAGGCCCCGTCCTATTATCTGATCTGGATGGGAGATAGCAATTTTACTGTTTTCTGCAGTGTGTCATCAATACCGCTCTGTACTTCAGTTGAGTCCAGTATCTGATGACTCATATGGGACCCTGACACCTTAAATTCTAATTAAAACCTGCCTTTATGCAGAGATCTTTGGCATTCCTTATCCTTGGGGATAATTTTAGGTCCTTATAGAAGATTTTAGAAATTGTAGCTTCTGGGGCCAGTATTTAGATTCGTTGGGTTTTGAGAGAACCAATGTGGAGCTAAAACAAGAGATATTGATTACAACTTTCCAAGAAGCTGGAATATTTTCCTCTTACTATTACAAAGATGGTTTGTTTACAAGTTCCTTCACTTTTGCCAATTGTCATAAATATCCTGTTGTTCTCCACAAAAGAACTTTCTTCCCAGTAAGACTCAATGCTTCACCCTCCATGCTTTTTGAAGGTAGATCTAACATTCCTTCACCTTCCTCTATATCCTTGTCTGGAGAGGGTGACTGGGTCAATTTCTCATGCTCGGTGCAGGCTGCTGTTGCACCGGTAGGGTGCCTTTCACCCTCATTTCTGTTCTTAACCACAGCAGAGCTCCAGCCAGTCCTCTACACCCGGGGTCCCCAACCTTGGCCACTTTATGACTTGTGGACTTCAATTCATGGCTGGCTGAGGAATTCTGGGAGTTGAAGTCCACAAGTCATAAAGTGGCCATGGTTGGGGACCCCTGGTGTAGAGGACTGGCTGAGGAATTCTGGGAGCTGAAATCCACAAGTCTCGAGGTTGCCGAGGCTGGAGGCCCCTGCTCTACACCGATGGCACAGCAGCTGCCTCACCTCCCAAGCAGAGCCTTCACGCCCTCATTCTGCACTCAGGAAAAACTGGTCATCGGTTACCGAAGAGGAAGGTATTGGTGGTGCTGTTAAGAACCTTGCAAGTCGTTGGCATCTCCAAGCAGCAAATTAAGGCTTCTAAACATTTGGCAGCTGTTCTTCAATCTTCTACTGTTCAAAAGAACAAGTAACAGCTGTTGCTGCCTGAGGCCCCAAGATCCTGAAGGCCGTCTTACATTTGCCCAAGACACATATATGAAGTCTATGTTCACGATGCTGATTTTGTTAAAGGAGGTGATCAGCCACCTATATGATTCACAGATTTTTAAAGATAAAGACCCAAACCTCTAGAACTGGTACAGGCCAGATCTCTGCTTCAGGTCCCTCAGGGTTTCAATTCATTATTGCACATGGACCTCTAATCTGGATCTCTAGGGGCCAAGCGCTCTAGCACTTAAAATCCAGCTAAAACTGGTTTATGCTGGCGGCCCCATCACGGGAGGCTTCTAAGAAGGAATGGACAGTTATTTGTCCCAAATGGTATAGGGTCTCCTGCCTGAGCAGGGGCTTGGACTAGATGACCTCCAAGGTCCCTTCCAACTCTGTTATTCTGTAAGGGCTCTTTTGCCTGCTCTATCCTTTAGGGGAAGCTCTCTGCTGTCTGGAAGAAATTCCTTTGTAGGGGAGTGCAGATATATTACTTCAAGCAGGAACCACATACTTCTTTCGGTTATTTTGAAGTCAGTGTCAACAATTTTTAGAACTCATTTACTATTCTGATCTCATGGGAATATAGATTGAAATGAAGAATCTTGCTATTTAGGGAGCATTAGCTCTCCTAATTCCAGAGGTTCTACTAGTCCAAAATAAGCTAATCCATCTGGAGACATTCAACTTATGCAAATGAGAGCTATGTTTTGTAGGATCAGCAGATTGGTGAAAATGTGAGTAGCAAAACAAGCAAAATGTGAGTAGCAAATGTGTTGCAAAACAAGCGTGTGGCTTAGCTGGCACAGACAGCTGCTGATTCTGGTGATCTCATCTTAATAATGGAGGATCCCAGTAGAGCAGGGGTCCCCAACCCCCGGTCCGTGGACCGGTACCGGACCCATGGCATGCCAGCAACCGGTCTGCACAAACAAGCAAAGCCCCATCTGTGGGATGCAGGAAGCACACAAAACCACGCCGCCGCCCCCCAGTCTGTGGAAAAACCTCTCTCCACGGAACTGGTCCCTGGTGCCCAAAAGGTTGGGGGCCTCTGCAGTAGCGCACTCTGGGACCTCCCAAGATCAAGGGCTCCAAGGCCCGGAGAATCACCAGAGAATTAAGATTTAAAGTGGGTTGGTTACAATCATACCACAGGTGGGAAAAACGTGTAATATGTTTAGAGTGACCCACAGGCAACAAAGCCACAAACCAGGATAGGAATTAGAATCTTGTGGACTCTCGGTCCAGGATGAGATTGCACGGGACTTTGAGAGATCCAAAATGCCACTGAAACCACACGCGTCACAGGGAAGATCTGAGCTCAACCCGGCTGCTGGGGCGGGGGCTGCACCCCTGGCTCCAGCCAATTACCTAGTGATGTCTGTTTCCGTGGAGAGCGTTTCCGTCGGCCGCGTGTAATTGCTTTGCTCTCCGTTCATGGAAGGGAGCTACACCAACCTCTCAACGAGAGAGGGTTTAGGTCTCTGCCAGCGGACAAAACAGGCAATGATGCCTTTACCAGGGCCTTGCCCATTTCTTGCAGCCTGGCACACAGATTCAATAATGCCCCTTTATCCAATTGCCTTGAAGGCCAAATGAGGACATTCTCCTTTTTC